CCAAGAGTTTAAGACCAACCTGGCAATACAATGAAACCTTATCTCTACCAAAAATATACAAAGAACAAGACTTCATATCAAAGTAAATAAAAAAATAAAAATTAGCCAGTCATGGTGGCATGTACTGTAGTTCCAGCTTCATGGGAGACTGAGGTGGGAGGATCCCTGAAGCCCAGGAGTTTGAGGCTACAGTGAGCTATCATCCCACCACTGCACTCTAGTCTGGATGACAGCATGAGACCCTGTCAAAATAAAAAAATTAAAAAAAATCAAATGTCAGATATGGAAAACCAGTGGTAGAGTTGAAAACAGCTAGAGTGAATTTTCTAGACATAACCTTTTGGTGCAGCAGATCTTAAGGAGAAAGTCTAGTAGACCATCTGTCATGAACAGACCTAAGATAATTTGATTATGCACAGTATGTGTGTGTATAATCCTAATCAAAGAAAAAAGATAAAAAATGTGTGTGAGTCACTGACGTTTGAATCAGATAAGGGTTATTTACTTCTCAGTCTCCTTAACTATACTACAATGACAATAAATCACAGTCCATTCTTTGCCACATATGCTGACACATAAAAATATGACACAAACCAATTTATACAACCTCTGTAAGCTTTGTGAAGTCTCCAGTTTCTGTCCTTTTAGGTGTTCCCACATCTACATTGCATTAAAAATTTATTGGAGGCACACATGATAACACTTCAGTGGTATGACTCTGTTACCTGTACAGTGGCTATCAGAGAATGACAATTCCTCCTACGTACTTGACTGGACACAGTACACGGGATAAACATCAATCCTAGAGCACCAAGTCTTTGGTGCTTTTGACTTTAAGAGATACATATAAACTATGGGATACAAAGGTGGGATGTGACTTTGACATATTTTGGGTAATCCTCATAAGTAAAAAATTATAATTTAACCATTTGGAGGTAGTTATTTATCAAAATTATGCTGATTAACAAGTCATAAATTTTAACAATAAAACTCACTTCTGACATTTATTATTCTAATACTCTAGTGTTGATCAAAATATGGATAATGGAAGCACTTGTCGCAGCTGCTCCAAAGTCTTAACTTTGAGAGTGAATGCAGCTGAACAACCCTTCATGGGTGGATTCCTGATTAGAGCAAGTAACTGCCTTTCCTACAGTGAAGTTTAGACCAGCACAGATATTTATAATACACTGTGATGAACTATTTTAAAATAAATTATAAACGTATTATTATCTTTTTGCAATTCAAGAAGTGACGTTTAGACCAGCACAGATACTTATAATACACTGTGATGAACTATTTTAAAATAAATTATGGACAATGTATTATCTTTTCTCAATTCAAGAAGGTAAATGATTTCATTCTCCACAGACTTGATTTGCCTAATATTGCTTTAAAGGCTGTTAAAGTTGCAAAACTGCCTTAATTTCAACAGTCATTAGTTTTTGCTTCGTTTTATTTTATTGGTCAATATACTGTGTGTGTAACCAATTGATTAATTAACTCACTCAGAGGTGCCCCAGACATACTTTACTGAGAAAGTGAAGCTACCAGACAGGAATTCGTTCATCTCTTCACAATCAGAGTTTTCAGCCTACCTCCATCTGGGTTACTGCTTACCTTGAATTGATTCCCCATCTTGAGCTCTGGATCCCATCTTCTCTTGTCTTTTTAGTACTTCCATCTTTACCATTCTCTATTCCTTTCTTGCTCTTTCTCCTGAAGCATCTTTTTTTTTTTTTTCCTTTTCTCCTGGTGATATGGTTTGGCTGTGTTACCACCCAAATCTCATCTTGAATTGTACCTTCCATAATTCTCACCTGTCATGGGAGGCACCCATTGAGAGGTAATTGAACCATGTGGCAGGTTTTTTCCCATGCTGTTCTCATGGTAGTGAGTAAGTCTCACGAGATCTGATCATTTTATAAATGGGAGTTCCCCAGCACAAGCTCTTCCTTGCCTGCCACCACATAAAACTTCCCTTCACTCTTCCTTTGTGTTTTGCCATGATTGTGACGTCTCCCCAGCCATGTGGAACTGTGAGTCCATTAAACCTCTTTCCTTTATAAATTACTCAGTCTTGGATATGTCTTTATTAACAGTGTGAGAACAGACTAATACACGTGGATTAACTGTTAATTTACAAAATGTGTTTTTTTTTCTTTCCCGACTTTAAAAAAGCTCTCCCTTAACTGATGCCTTTAACCAGGTACTATCTCATCCCCTTCTTTCCTTGCGTGGCAAAATAACTGAAAGAAAACTTTCACTTCTTATTCCAAGTTTCTCATCTACCCATTCCTACAGGAGGCCAACTCCCTGCAACTTCACTGAAACCTCTCTTGGTAGGGTTACCGGCAATTCCCACATTACCAAATGCAATATTCAGATGTCTGTTTTCTGGTTCTTGGCCTCTCCACAGTACTGTATGCAGCTGACCACCTTGAGTGCATGAAACACTTTTGTAACCCTGTTTTTCATCACACCACCCTTTCCTCGATTCCCAGTCCCTAACAGGCCACTTCTTCCCAGTTTCCTCTTCTGAATGTCTGTCAAATGCAGTGTTTTGAGATCAGTCCTGGACCACTTTCTCTTATCTACATACACTCTCTCCAAAAGACTCTTATTTAGTGTTGGGCTTAAAAAAGTAGATATGGATGTTGGTGTCTCCCAAATTCATGCTCCAGCCTTGGCTTAACTCTGGTCTTTTATAAACTGCTGCCTACTTGATATCTCTGTTAGGATGTCTAGCCTAGGTTTTATCTAAATCTAAAATATGCAGTGTAGTAGTCTTGATTTCTTGACACAAACCTGTTTCTTATCTTAGTGATAGCTGCACTATTTCTCCATTACTCAAACCAAAGTCCTAATGAGATAACTTTGATTCCTCTTTTCCTTTTTTCACCAAACTCAATCCAGAAGTGAGTCCCTTTGCATTATCTCCAAATTACATCCACCTGCTTCCCTCTAGCCTCACTACTATTATGCTAACCCTTCATCCCTCTGGGAACCTCCACCCCCAGTCAGTTCAACAGGAGTGATAAATGCAGAGATTAGGGCAGAGACATTTTGAGTAAGGCTTTATAGGTTACAATAAGAAGTTTGGTCTTACTCAAAATTTGATGGGAAATGACTTAAAGATTTTAAGTAGAAAGTAACATTATGTATATTTTTGAAGATCTCTGTAGATGCCGTGTGGGAAATGAGGGATCCGTTGGAGTTGGGAAGGATTGTAGTAAAGGAGAGAGTGGACTGTGTCTGGGTGTTGTGTCAGCACCTGGACCAGCGTCAGGTGTAACTGAGTATGGCTTTTGTTCAAGAGATTAATTCTCATATGAGATTAAAGCGAATGTAGTGTCTCGTAGTTATCTCTTACATGACATTAAGGATGGATGACCAAGAAATGGAGGTTTTGTTAACATTAAATTTAGTGCTGATGGTTTTGGGTGGCTTGGTAATGGCGTTCTCCTGACTTCAAAATTATTAGCTAAGTACGAGTCAGAGAAAGGACAGTCTTTTTTCTTTAAGGACCCTTGAGATCTCTATTCCATTTATCCATGGAATTCATAAGTTGAACACTCAAGATTCATGAAGTATGATTAAAAATCAGCTTTGTTTTTATCCCACACTCTTGATTTTTAAGAATGGTTAAGAAAGTACTTCTCTTGATTTGAATGAAAACTTGAATTGTTGCATGGATTTTCTGTTATTTCTAGGTGATTAAAAAATTCTAGGATCTTTTGAAATTAGAAACATACTGTGAATTGAGTTATGATAGGTGTCTAATCTTACGTAGCAATTAAAACCATGAATTGGATAGGAAGTTCAATCTTCCCCCATCTTGGGCTTGCTGCATGAGGAAGACTGTGGTCAGGAGAGAGGTGGTTTCTTTTCTTACCTCATGATTGTGAACTATCAAAATTCCATGTAAAAGGGAAGCATAGATGCAAATACATAAATCACTAGATGTATTAAGTAAAATATTGAATTGTAAAACATTCAGGGGAGGGACAGTTATGAACTATTTCCTATTAAAATACTTTTTGGAAATCAAAGAACAGCTAATTTCCTAAGTGACTTTGTAACATTGTGGCTAGAAGTTAAACCAGGTCTCTCAGAATGCTTTCTAATCCTATAGTTTGCCATATGATTTTATGAATAAAAGATTAAAATTCATTTTGTTTAATCAGAAGCTATTGGCATAAAATATCAATTACTTGTTTCTGTCAAAAACAGTTTCACTAGACAAAATTGAGACCCTTTTGCTAATTTAGTGTTAATTTTAAATTTGAGCAGATTATATTTTCAAAAGGAATTTAAATTTTTAATCAGAGCACTATTTTTACAATATGTTACTGAAGGTTTTTATATGATAATTCATTGTTCATCATCTTTGAGTAGTTCATATATTCTCATAAAACAATAACTAGTTTCAGTGAATAGTTAAGAAACATTTGGATTTGGAAGGCAAATGGCTACAATCTTACTGATTTTATGAATTGTCCCCTTATTTAGAGCTAAAAAAAAATAGAATTTTTTATTTTAAGGTAAATTCCATGAAATTACTTGATATTTTGAGTGCAAAGCTATGAACTATTTGGTCTAGTTATAGCCAATTAATTATAAGCACTTATGAGACTTGATAAGTTGTTTTTTAAAATGAGAAATGCCACAAATCAATTCAAATACTATTATATTGCATACTCACTTAAAAGCGTTATTTTTTGAGCGCAGTGATTAATTCTTTGGTAATCATGTTTTCATGCTTTACAAATCCTCCCTGTTGGAACATAATATGCAGTTTAAAAATAAAAGCATTGAAACAGGCCCAGAAGAATTTGATACACAAAACTTGGCATAAACCAGACATGGATTTCTATCAGCTTGGCACCAAACATTTCTGCATATTTGAAAAGCTAACCATGATTTTTTACTACTTTTTATGTGAATGTACTTTATTACTTAGTTTAGCATTTTGATTTGTTTACGTGTGACTTTGACAGGTTGCTTCAAAGATGGTCAACGTTATGAAGAGGGATCAGTAATTAAAGAAAACTGCAACTCCTGGTAATAAATTTAAGTGGCACAGAACTGAATTCTACTGTCTGTGTATGTTTTCTTCAAATAAAAGAAATATTTGTGAAACAAAACATATAGTTAAGTACATATAGACAGAATCATATGTCATAAGACATCACATACCTGTAACTTTTTGTAAGTATATTTAATTTTAAGGAATTTTGAAAATTTAATCATGAATGTCTTTTAATGTTTGAGGTTGATGTTCTAGATAATAAATTATCATACAGCAAGTCTGCATTAATTATACCTCTTAATTATAATATTCTGATATCCTACAGGCAAATTGTGTTTTTAAGCACAATGACTATATAAAAGCAGGCTGCTTTAAAAGGACTAGCCTGCAGAAAGTTTCCAAATACAAGTACATTGAATCTACTGTCCAAATTGGCTTATGTTTTCAAACTTTACGGATGTGTGATCATATCATTTGTAAATTGCCTGGAGTAGAGGATAACAGCATCGTGAGTGGTAGCTAACGTATGTTTTACCGTTTATTTTTGCCAAGAATCAACCATATGGCTAACATTAATCAAGAAATTACATTTTATGCCATAACAATGTGTAATTCTTGTTACTAATTGAAATATACTTCATAAAGACCAAGCCACTTTGGTAACTGTCATGTCTTTGCAGCACATGCTCAGGACAGCAATGGAAATGTTCCCAGCACGTATGCCTTGTTCGTCCAGAATTAATTGAACAGGTCAATAAAGGAGACTATGGGTGAGAGAAATCTTGCTTTATATGCTTCTTGACACTCCCATTGACTCTTCGGGTTTCAATGTATTGCTTGGTTTCTATTCATTTTAAACAAATGGTCATTGTTTAAAAAGAAAGAGTGGGAGAGAAATAGGAAGGGAGATAGAAAATGTAGAACTGGAATGCAAAGGCAAACATTCAATAACATTAAATAATTAAAATGAACAAATGAGAAATCTAGAGCATAGCTCTAAATTATCTGGGAAAGAGTAGGGTCATAGTGTAGGTAAGGGAAGTCTAGAGAAAGCTACTTTGGATAAGTATTTAGTCAAAATCAGGAAGTCAGCAAAACTGATTTAATCATAATAAGCATCTCTGCCTCTGCTGCTGCCCTGGCCAAGCCAATCACATGCTTAGCTATCATGGGTAGAATCTGACCTTAAAAGGATGGTAATCGATCTTGATCCCCCAAATAACAAGCCAATCTAAATAATGTCACTGAAATAATGGGTATCTAGCCAATGTCACTTACAGTTGACAGATTGAGCTACTTTACTTTGCTGGTGCACTAAAGATAGGGATGATTGACACTGAAACATCCGAAACAGCTGATGCTCTCGTACAAACAGATTAGGTGGCTTCTCCATTTACACAGAGGGAATTAAGATGTAGGGACTGGCCGGGTGAGGTGTCTTACACCTGTAATCCCAGCACTTTGGGATGCTGAGGCAGGTGGGTAGATCACTTGAGGCCAGGAGTTCAAAACCAGCCTGGACAACATAGTGAAACACTGTCTCTACTAAAAATACAGAAAAAAAAATAATAACTGGGCATGGTGGTGCATGCCGGTAATCCCAGTTACTTGGAAGGCTAAAGCACAAGAATCACTGGAACCTGGGAGGTGGAGGTTTCAGTGAGCCAAGATTGTGCTACTATACTCCAGCCTGGGCAATGCGGGATGAAATGCTGCCTCAAAGAGAAAAAGAAAAAGAAAAAGATATAGGTGCCAACACTGACTGTTATTACAGAACTAAAAAGACGAGGAACAAGCTAGCTGGTATCTGCTTCAGAATTTCTCTGCTGCCATTGATCGAATCTTAATATACCCTTGATAACATCTTCTACATTTCTGGAAAATACTTAACATAAAAAGATCTATTATCAAGCAGTTAGAAAAGTGAAATACTCTTGAGATGGATTTTTATAAAATAGAAGTGTAATCTCCTTCCACACATAACATGTTGTTTCCCAGCATAAGGGGAACATTGAATTTCAGTGTATTCAAAGCTTTTTTTTTCTTGTAAGATACAAAATATAGAAAGTCACGTTTGTTGATATTAATATTTTTAAACCATTCTCAATTTCTGTGTGTGTGAGTGTGTTAAACCAATATTTTAGATGATAACGATGACATTTTAAGTATTTCTAGGGAAAAAATTATAATTTTCTGAGGCTAAATCATATTTAAATTATTTGAAGAACGTGAGAGTATGTGTCACCTTTAGAAATTATTTGAATCAGATTCCTGAAAAGGTTCAAATGCTAGACTTAATTAACATACATTTCCAAGAAACCAAAACAGAGCAGCCTAGCTTTCCACTGTTAAAAAGCATATGAGAAACTACAGTCTAAAACAATGTGGTACACTTAAGAAAGTACACTTAGGACTACAAAAGTTATTGGAAATGCTATTAGGTTGGTGCAAAAGTAATGGTGATTTTGGCCAAAACTACCATTGCTTTTTGCAGCAACCTAATATCTTCCTTGGAAGGAAGAACTTTCTTTCCCTGATTTATTTACTTGGAGCATACTCTAGGACTACTTAACAGGCATGAGCTTTGCATTTTGGTAGCAAATATTGAAACATCACAGAACTTTAAAAGAGTAGAAAGTGAAAGATAATTGAGCAAAAGGAAACATACAAAAACCAAAGGAAAAAAGTTAAGTAAAAGGAACAAGCTATAAAGACAAAAAATAAAACTAAAATTATGTACCTGGGCAAAAAAGAGGGAAAGTGCTTGAATTTAAAAGAAAGTTCTGATTCTCAGCTATTCCCTCTTCATGATGCTCAAATTATTTTTCTGCATGAAAATATAATCATGTCATTTAATATTTATTAAGTGCTTTTTAAAATAGCCTGTATCAAATATGTGATCTTTACTTTAAAACATTTCTTTCCCACATCTTGACAGTATTTTAGATCCAAGTCCTTATTCTGTATAATGTACTTCAGTGATTATTTATTCTCTGTATTACTTTTTAATCCAATCAGTTGATATTAATAATCCTGTGTTCCCCTGCTGGCATTGCTGAGGATACAAATAAACAATTTCAGCCTGGTGAGGTGGCTTATGCCTGTAATCCCAGCACTTTGGGAGGCCAACGTGAGTGGATCACTTGAGGTCAGAAGTTCAAGACGAGCCTGGCCAACATGGTGAAACCCTGTCTCTACCAAAAATACAAAAATTAGCTGAGTGTGGTGGCAGGGGCCTGTAGTCCCAGCTACTTGGGAGGTGAAAGCACTAGAATTGCTTGAACCCAGGAGGTAAAGGTTTCAGTGAGCTGAGATCACGCCAGTGCACTCTAGCCTGGGCCACAGAGTGAAATTCTGTCTCAAACAAAACAAAACAAAACAAAACAAAAGACAAATAATTTCTATCTTAAAGGAATTTACCATCTAGTTGAGGAGCCAACATTGTCATACCTTTATAAAAGGATTTCTAATAATAGGGCAGAATATAAGTGCTAAATTAGTGGCACACGTAATAATCAGCAAGTTAGTGGAATAAAGGGAGATACATAAGTATTTCCGTTATCTGCTAGTGTATAACAAACCATTCCAGGATTCAGCATTTTAAAGCAATAAGCTTTCCGACTTTTCACATTAGCAATTTGGAATAGATTCAACTGAGGCCCTTTGGCTGCTCTTTTCTGGAATTACTCTTGTGTCTATAGAGCCTCAACAGAGGCTGAATTGTCTAAGATGGCCTCACACTATGCCTTGTGGTTGGTGCTGCTTGTTATTTGGGCCATGTGTCTCCAGTAGGCTAGCTTTGGCATCTCCTCATAATTATTGTACTAATGAGGCCCAAGTCCAAGGTGCACAAGTCTCCCTTGAAGCTTATGCTTGAAACTTTCATGATATCAATTCTACCACTTTCTGTTGGGTAAAAGTTACTAGACCAGCTTACATTCAAAGGCTAGATAAGTAGATTCTTTCTTATGAACTCAAGATTTGGTCTACTGGATAACTTGGCTTTGATTTTTCACTGGTTTCTCAAAATCAGCTCACCCCAAACTGCAGTGATTGACTCCTTCCTATTCTTATTTACTGGCATCTTGCTCTATCTGGTTAACTTGAAAATTCGAAGTTAGTTTGATTCTTTGTTTCTTTTACTCTCAGTCAGTAGGTATTGCTAGCTGCCATACTAAAAGTTTCTCTTGGATATTTACTTCTTCCATTCTAGACTATAGTCTAATGCATTTCTTTATCAAGCCTAGTTTGAAATGACCTGACTTGTCTCTGTTTTCAGAAATTCTCAATGGTACTCTGCTGCTTGTGAAATATAAGTATTGCCCTTAGCATAAATAACTTGTTGGTCCAAAAGTTTTTTTACTACCTTACCTTTTATGCCATTTCGGCCCTGTGTCCCTATCCTCTCTCCTAGTTTAAGCATTTAACTTATCTGTCATTCCCTAAACATGCCATCCAACTTCAAACCTGCGTGCTTTGCTCAAGAGTTGCCTTTACTTTAAATAAACGCTCTCTTCTTTTATATGTGGTCACCAAACTTATCCTCAGCCTTCCAGATAGAGTACTAAATTTGCTTTATGTAAACATGTGCCAACTCCTTCAGGCAGAGTTATGTTTGAATCTTTTGATCATATTTTGATCTACTGCTAACAAATGACACAGGCTGAAGCCATTTCTATCCTTGGTCTTTCTTAAGGTATAAATTTCTTGAATGTAGAGAAATTTATTCATATCTAGGTTCTCTGTTTATCAGAGAATATGATACACAAATTAAGAAAGTTCAGTAAGTGCTAAATTGGATTAAAAGAAAGTTATGAGTCTAAGTGAAGAAGGATGTTACAGGTTAGTCATACCTTTCACATTTTTTGAGCATATCTCACAGTAGAACATACATTTTACTTGTGATCTAGTACACAAACATGTGCACACACATCAACATACCCAGACACACACACACACACACACACACAGAACTTACCCTCACTATTTGTAATAAACTCTATTTCCTATTATTTCACCTATCTTCCATTTTATTTTCTTAAATTATCACCCTGCTCACCAAATTTAGTGCTTAATTAAATAACCTATGAATATCTCTGACCTGATGTTTGAAACCTACTAATGTAGGGCAACAAAAACATATTTTACTGATGTCATCGTTTGCCCAAGGCAAATCTTGTCAACCTTTTGAATTATACAGTATCTCTTAAATTCAGAGGTTCCCTTATTGAGATTCCTTGGGTAATGAAGATTGCATTTTAAATTGTAGCTGAATTTCTAAAGATTTTATGAACTAACAAATCTTACACAAAAGAAAAGCATTAACTTGCCAAATATATTATTATTATTATTATTTAATCATACTTTAGGCTATGGGGTACATGTGCAGATCATGCAGGATTGTTGCATAGGTACATACATGGCAAGGTGGTTTGTTACCTTCATCCCCCCATCACCTATATCTAGTATTTCTCCCTTCTCTGTCCCTCCCCACCTGCCCCACCACCACTGTCCCTCTCCTAGACCCCTCCATCAACTGCAGTGTGTGATGCTCCCCTCCCTGTGTCCACGTGTTCTAATTGTTCAACACCCACCTATGAGTGATAACATATGGTATTTGGTTTTCTGTTCTTGTATCAGTTGATAAAAATGATGGTCTCCAAATTCATCCACATCCCAATGAAGGACACGAACTCATCTTTTTTATGGCTGCGTAGTATTCCATGGTGTATATATGCCACATTTTCTTTATCCATTCTATCAGTGATGG